CACCTCTCCCTCCCCCTTCCACCCCCTCTAAAAATCAAGGGAGCCGAAACCGGTTTGGCTCAGTGGATAGCGCGTCAGCCTGCGGACTGAACGGTCCCAGGTTCGATTCCGGTCAAGGGCATGTACCTGGGTTGCAGGCACATCTCCAGTAGGAGGTGTGCAGGAGGCAGCTGATGTTTCTCTCTCATCGATGTTTCTGACTCTCTATCCCTCTCCCTTCCTCTCTGTAAAAAATCAATAAAATATTTTTTTTAAAAAAAATTTGATTTTAAAGAGACGGTGGGGGAGAGAAGGAGATGTTTGTTGTTCTGCTTATTCATGGCTTTGTTTTCTGTCGTCTGTTCTATTAGGAGCTTAGCATGTAAATATTTGGTATTTTTTTAATATCATGTGATTCGCCCTGACCTGTGTAGCTCAGTTGACTGGAAAGGTCATGGGTTTGATTCCAGTCACATACCCAGGGCCAAGAGCACATACCCGGGTTGTGGGTTTGAACCCAGGTCAGGGTGTGTACAGGAGGCAACTGGTTGATGTTTATCTTTCTCTCTCTCTCTCTCTCTCTCTCTCTCTCTGTCTCTCTCAAAAAATCAATTAAAAATTATTAATGTTGCCCTAACCGGTTTGGCTCAGTGGATAGAGCATCAGCCTGTGGACTGAGGGGTCCCAGGTTCGATTCTGGTCAAGGGCATGTACCGTGAGGCTAACATTTAAAAGGGTCATGTGACTCTAGTGGACAGTAGACTTGAGAGCCCAGCTTTCTCCTCCAGGCTCGCTCAGGGTCCTTGCCATCCTCATGGCAAGCCTGCCTTTCCCCACACAGGGTTGCGGGGCCTTAGCGTGTGTCATCTGAGGGGTCAGCGGTTCGCATGTGGCACAGGTGACCCAACTAGTCAGGGAGTCAGGACCAGCTACTGCGAAGGAGCTCCATGAGCAGACAGCGGCCAAAAGGAAAATGTGACAGACGTTCTCGCGGTCAGGACAGTGGCCACGGCTGGAGGCCAGCCAGGCAGGGCCAGGCTGTGCCCTGTCGCTGTCGCCCACGTTGTGACAGGCACAGACACATTCGTCACCAGCCAGGGCTGCAAGTGCAAAGGCCGCGTACGGGCCGCGCGCCGAGAGCACCTGAGGGGGCGGGTCAGGGCGGAGAGACCAGACTTTCCATCTTCAAATATGTTAACAAAGGGAAATAAATGGCCAAATGCACAGCAGCCTATGTTTAGCAAACTATGTAGGAGTTTTTACGTCTCTAAGCTCATAAGTCAGGCTGCTGCTGCCAGAATGACTGCACTAGTTTTGACGGGGCCACCGGCTGGAGCCACAAAGCCTTGCTCTCACACTCGCTGTGTGCACTCAGTGGGTCCCACCGGAATGGCGTTTCAGTATCAGGCAGTTGAGGTCACATGGTAACGCATAATACACTGGCATAAGTTATTTTGTTAAACATTTTTTAATATATTTTGATTTCAGAGAGGAAGGGAGAGGGGGAGAGAGAGAGAGAAACATTGATGAGAGAGGCACATCAATGGCTTCCTCCTGTGAGCCCGCACCCGGGCATGTGCCCTGACAGGGAGTTGAACCGTGACCCCCTGCTCCACCACTGAGCCACACCGGCCGGGCCTATTTTGTTCATGTTTAACCCCTTCCCCAACAATTTTTTTGTTAAAAACGTTTCTTTTTCAGACTAATTTTTTTATTTTGGTTCTATATAGTATTTTTGATGCTGGTTATGAAAACAGTTTGTAACTCGTCTTCCTATAAACCATATTTTTTTACCATATTTTCTTAGTATACTCGTCGACGACTGAAAAAGAACATTTTGTGAAAACGAGTATACACGTTTCTGCCGGGGAAGGGGTTAATAAAATGTGACACAGTTCAAATACCCTTAAACGTACAGAGTAATTGAATGAAAACATTTCAGCCAAAGCTGTTCTCTTATTATTAACAGAACATCCAAGGCATCTCCAAGCACCCAGTCCAGATCACTAAGCCTCGGGATTATACAGGTAAGGCGTTCCTTTGCCCTTGGCTGGAGTCTGTGTCTGCCACGGCTTCTCTGGCACCGTCCCAGGTTCTCCTCTGTGTGCGCAGCCAGGACCTCCTGTGCAGTGAAGAGTAAAGCAGGCTGAAGTGGTAGGGCACCTCCCTTCTGGCAGTTTACAAGTTCCAGTAGATGCTAATTATACAGGAAGCAGCGCCCTGCTCCCAGCTCCCCCACCAGCTCCCAGGAAAGGAAAAGCAGCCAGGCAGGCGCGCAAGTCTGGAAATCTCAGGGGCTGTTTGTAAAGCGGGGGAGCAGCTCCTTCCCCGGGCCTCACGTCATGACGG